GAGCCCTCAGCAACCCCACGGTTATCGGAGTACCCCCTCCGTCAGTCGGCAGTCCAGGGCACTGTGTGTCTGAGTGGATCGCAACGCGATTTTGCGAATCCCACTCCACCACATTTACGCCGTTTGCAACTGATCAACGTAAGCGTCGCGAGCACCTTCTATCGATACCATAAGAGGGCAATAACGGAAAATACCAAATCAGTGCGCGGAATCAGTTTAGTGCACGTCCTATTCAATCATGCATCTCTAATTTGAGATTTTATATTGGCTATGTTCTTCAAGCACAATGAAGGATATGTCCAGTCAAAATAATGTCTCATATTAAAGATCTATAATTTGACAAAGGGATAGGTCATAAATCAGAGAATATCGTTCATTTCCGTAGCGCTCAACTCGCACCTCTCTGCGGAGTTAGCGCGTCAGCATGTTAAATGTAGCAAGAGTAGCCGTAGTAGCAGTAGCAGCGCGGCACAATTAACCCTTTTAATACGAGCATTCCGGATAATCCGGAACTTAGATTTAGAAGTGAAAGTATTCAGGACTCTCCGCTACAGATCCTCCATGCTCGAAATCCGCATATAGCTTTTTGTATATGATAATGTTTAGCAGGGCAACTGTAGCGTCCTTCGTGCGATGAGACATGAGATTTTCGGGAAGCGGATAGGGTCCCGCGTATAAGAATTTGTGGGAGCTCCCAGCCGTTCATTCCAAGACTCGCGCCGAAGGGAAGACATTCACTCTGCAATGGAAGCGTTCATCGATCCCAAGACCTTCCAAGTACTCTGGTTCAGACTCAGGAAGAAAGGGTGGACATTCCGCAAGTCTACAGGCCTAAGCAACCACCATCGTTACCTGCCACCGAGGGGGGGGGGGAGGTGGCAGGGACTGAAGGGGTCGACTTCTTTGTCGGTACGCGGCATCGTGTTGTTTCACTACAGTAACTTTTTCCTAACATCGTACCAATGAAGGCGAGAAGAACTTGGTGAAGCATTGCAAGCAACAAGGCTGGTTTCCTGATCTGCTGGGGTTGCCTCCGGGTCTCTCTCTCCAGTTGACTCCAACACGCTCAATGCTCGTCGACTCGACGCCCGACGCTCGATGCCTCCGAGCGTGACACCAAAGCCGCAGCGTCCGATGCCCGACGCCCCGACGCCTCCACTCGTGGAGCCTGCCGGTCTGACACCTCCGCTCAATGATAGTGCCATACCACCAGCACCAAGTATGGCGCCTCCGGTTCCAGTACGTCGCCCGACACGTGCTGAAGCAAAGACTTCCAAACGTAAGCAGCGGCGTGCGGCGAAAGCAACACCCCAAGACGTCCTACAGCCATTGAACCAGCCAAGTGTGCGTGCCAGTGCGTCGGCAGCATCCTCAATCGGAAGACCTGCAGCAACGGCAAAGCGTAGCTCTGCAACCTCACGTTCATCTACGAAAAAGCGTCGGGCTGGTAAGCCAAGAACGTTTCTGCAGCAAATGTGTTTTGACTAACGATGATGTTACGAATTGTGCAGCTCAAGTTATTCCGGATAGTACTGTAGGTGTTCCGGGGATGACCGATCAGCATATTCCGGATCAAGCGGCTACTACGGAGGAGACTGAAGACGCTGTTCCGGATGGTCCTGATTCGGTCACGGGCAATACGGAACGTGCTGTTACGGAAGCACGTAACACATTGGTGTCTGCGAGGAGTGTTCTTGACCACGATCGCGGTAATGGCGTTTCGCTTGATGACTTCGACTCTGACAATTTCTTGGAGGCACTGAGGCGTGATCGGCTCTTTGAAGGAAGTGATCCAGATGACCTCAATGTTGGAGTTGACGACTGGCTGCTCGCACTGGATTCCGACGTTGAAGGTGACGAGGAGTCCATTTTTCTGGACGAGGACAATAGTGAAGATGAAGACGAAAGTGAAGCTGACGTTTCGGGTGCTGTAAGTGACGATGAGAGCGTGGAAGACTTTGCTGGCGTGGATGATGACGTGCCCGTGGAGTTCGATCTAGCTGAAGCGGATTTGAAAAGACTGCAAGCCGAGGAATGGGACGCACTCATGGAGGATGACTCTGGTCGACTACAGCTTGACCCTGCACCTCTGTACGACGGACCGTACGGCCCAACACGCACTGCCATGGCTTACGCTACGAGTCCGCTTGCCATGTTCTACTTTTTCCTACCCAAAGAGTTGTGGCGCAAGATTGCTGAGGAAACGAACCGGTATCAGCTGGAGAGTATCCATGAGATAGCCGAAGGTATGCGTGAACGAGCGGTACAGAAGCGACAAACTGTTCCATCGACTATCGTGTACACCGTGGATGAGTACGAGGCCAAGTTGCGTCGAAAGTACCCCATACAGCCCCATGAAATCGTTCGGTTCATCGGTCTTCTCATCGCACGAACATTGGAACCGCGGCGCGAGAGTCTAAGCCGCCACTGGATCACCAAAGTGGAAGGAGCTCTCTCACGTTGCACGTTCGGGCAATTCATTAGCCGTGATCGCTTCCACGACATCGCGAAGTACTTGCACTTCAATGACAATGCTGGACAACCAGAGAGTGCCGATCGTACTTTCAAAATTCGGCCGGTTCTTCAAGCAATTCAGAAGACTTTCTTCCGAGGCTATCGCCTTGGCGCTCGCATCTCGTTTGACGAAGGAATGGTTTCAATGTGGCATCGGCGCAACCCCATGCGCCAATACATGTCAGCGAAGCCAAACAAGTGGGAACAAAATTCTACATGACCTGCTGTGCCAAAACCGCTTATTGTGCAAGGTCCGTAGTCCTATTGCGGATCTATGATTTTCTTTTACTACGGAGTGTCCGTTATTTGCTCGGGATGTTCCGTGAAATGAGGTTGACTTATTCAGGAGATGTCTAACTGTGGTGTGTGCGTGTGTGTAGGCTGGATATCTATTGCGGTAAAGCCAACAAGGACGAGGATGCAGTCGCTCAACGAGCAGTGGTGCAGAATCTCACACACGTCCTGCGTGGACAACCAGCTCAGCGGCTGATTTGCACGGACAACTTTATACTTCCATTCCACTATCGCACAAGCTGCTGCGTATGGGTCATTACCATGTTGGTACTATTCGCAAGGATAGGAAAGGTTGGTGCCGCCAGATTGAGTTCACGCAAAAACGAAGGCCCAAACGCATGGCTCGCGGAACGTATAAGATTGCTTCGTGGAGGGGCCATCCAGAGTTTGTTGCTTTGTTTTGGATGGACAATAAGCCCGTTCGATTTCTGGCTACCGGCTGCTCTACTCAGCTCACTGATGTATCTCGCCGTGAACCCGATGGATCTATCTCTCGCGTGCCTTACCCACAGCTCGTGAGAGACTACCACGAAGCTATGGGCGGTGTCGATGTCCACGATCAGCTCAGGCTCCAGCGCTACTCGATTCAGCGGTCGATCAGAATGCGCAAGTACTACAAAACTATTTTCCTGGGCTTGGTGGATATTGCGCTTGTCAACGCATTTATAGTGCACAAGCTGGCCATGAAGAAGAAACGGTTGCCTGTACCGACACACGCTGCATTCATGCTTCACGTGGATTTACTCAACCAGACGAGCGTGGACCTCATGGGTGGTGACGAGCTGGCTGCTCTGCTTGCTGAGCCACTACCAGCGCGAGCGCATACACTGGAACATACGGGTGAATTGAACGGCTCGAAGCGCAGGCAGTGGCTTTGCAAGGTGTGTTCTGCATACGCTGGCACCGGTGAACGAAGCTTTGAGGCGAGCTACTTTTGCGCCACGTGCTCTGCAGCCAAAAGGGAAGAGTCACGCTGTGCAACAAGGCCCGCAGACTGCAACATGGAAGCACTCTTACCTGCAACGAAGTCTGGCATCAGCAGTGGCTGAATGGAACGCGGATTCCAGCGGAGTTTCAGGACAAATAAGATTTGTGAGCAAACGTAGGGTCGAGGTGGACAGTGAGGATGAGTGAATGAAAAGCGTACTGTTGAATGAATTATGGTCATCTGTGAGTCGCGTCTTTGCAAATGCTGTAACCGTTTTGCAGGGAGATTGCAATGAACAGGTTGGTGGACGGATTTTGCTCTGCACATCTTGCCGTCTCAGCCAATCAGGCATCTGAACCAAGCCACGTGTCACGAGAAAAGGATATAAACTACAGATATTCCGGCATATGTTAATATATATGTTAAGAATTCCGGGTTTCCCGGAACAGCGGCCGTATTAGAAGGGTTAATCTCGTTTTTCCAAATTATCTATTGGTAAATCAGTCTTTATATCCTCGAACGAGGCGATATTGAAAGTTGCCTTAATCCGGTCACTCTGGATGTCATCAACAGCGCTTCGCGAAATCTTGGCCGTTCATCCTCGACAAGAGTGCCGTGACCCAGCTGTACTACGAACGGCTGGAGATTCACGCGCCTCTTAATCGTCTCGTACTCGACCACGTGATCTCATCCCACAGCAGTGGAGATGGGAGACGCGGTGTAGAATCACTCTGTCCTTGATAGTCCACAGCTTCGACATCAGCGCGTGGTCCTTCGTAATAAGTCCGTCCTCCTCCTTGAGAAAGTCCTTCACGGCGAGGTTAAGTCTATGTCTAGTACAACCGACCAACGGGATGGCACTTTCCTTGTTCCCGATGCATTGCTTCACCGAGCAATTATCTCCCACCACGAGCTTTACCACTTTCCAGGGCTTGTTGTAGCGGACCAGAGTGTCCGCGATGAGGTTAAACTGGCTTTGTGCGCTCCAATTCAACAGGCGAGAACGCCAAGAGTAGGAAGCGGAGCGAAGTGCATTTCAGCTCGTCGAATTAGTCACTGCTAGTGCGACTTCCGGTACCAGCCGCACTGACGTATACCGCAATGATTGCTACATAGTGGCGATTGCTACTAGTCCAGCTGTCCAACACGAGTCTGGACACATCCGGAAGCTCATCCACGACTCTGGCTTCGACCGCCTCGGTCACCAGCCTCACGTACTTCGACAGCGTATCCTCTGACACAATAGAGAGTGAATTTCCGGTGCTTAAAGAATTCAAAAGGTAGCCATCCAGAGACCACCCACTCCAGCCAGCGGTAGATATCCTGCGTTTGCTGGCTGACGACGTGTAGTTTTTTTTGGTGCAGGGAAGCTTCCTGGGCGTCTTGCTTGTAGTCAGCATGGTTGCGTCTCAGGTAGTTAAGTAGGTTCGTATAGCCATTCCCCTTCTTGTAGGTCTTGCCACAACTATTCCGGTGTGCATGTTGTCTGCAATAGCGGTAAAAAGAATAGAGTAGATCTGACTGCTCGTGAGAACCATGGTGGACAGTGGGGTAGGATGAGAGCTTGAGATTGGATTTGGAAGTGGGCTCAGTTGGCTCCACTTATCGAAGGGACTTGATAGCGCAAGCAACGAATGGCGGAAGGGAGGTGTTGTTGATTGTGATGCTCTGGTACGCTGGTGATTCATATACGAATTGGTACAATTCTTGAATGAATTGAAGCTCAAAATTAATTATTAATTAATTAATCGAATTAATATTATGAGTATTATTTTATTTTGGACCCTGGTAAGAAAAATAGTACTGTTTGTAAACTACCCGTAATTTACGTATAGTTTACATTGTTGAAATGCGACGCTTCATAAACCTGAAGATCGCTGTAGAGATACGCCGGAGGAGCGTCTCACTCGAGAAGAAGCTCAAGAACCGCCAGTGCTGGAAGAAGATAACCCAGTCGAGTATTGCTCGCACCACTACCACTACTGCCACCATGAGTAGAGCCCAGTTCCTGCTGTCACTGCTGGTGGTGCTGTGTGCTCTACTGACAGCTACGGAGGCAGCCACCTACCATCTCGTGGGTCAGTGGATGCCCGCTACCAAGAACACAGCCACCGAGAACCTGCTGATAGAGGCGCTGCAGAAGAAGAACCCGTCGCTCAAGTCGCAGATATGCTTCACAGAAGTCACGGCCATCGAGCAGCAGATCGTCAACGGCATCCATTTCCGCTATCACGTGCGCGGATGCGAGGCTGCAACGCCCGGCCGCTGCAACAGCGGCACTTGCGCCACCGAGAATAAGTTCAACGTCGAGCTCTTCGTGCAGCCGTGGGCGAACGTCGTGCAGGTCATGTCTACGGTCGATGTGCAGTAGACACTCTTGCCTACTGATATGCAGCGAGATAACGAAGTGAGAGAGAGGAGAAGTGTAGCAAACGTAAGTCTTTCGCCGTAAGATAAGGTATTTAGATGCGCGTGATTAACATCGCTGCATTTGCGTGTTTTACCTTGTGTACTCAACTTGCCGAGCCTCGGCCCGAGGCGACTCAGTTGCAACGACTTACGTGGTGCGGTGCAAGTTGCAACACCGGCAGCTTTACGACGCTGTGATCACAAATCCTGAGAGAATTTCCATGCTCTGCGCGAAGATGTGGGGACCGATGCAGGTCGATCTTGGTTGGTTTTGTAACTTGACGGCGTGCTGTGCTCTCTGAGTGGACGACGTTATCTTGGCTACAAGCGCTTGATTGTTGGACACGCCACGACTACTACGCTTCAACTTCTCTTCGCGCTGACATGTCGTCTGAAAGGCTCGGTGTGCTAGCGGCCCGCGTCGGACAACGCAGCAAAGGGAGGGGGGAAGTTACTTCCAAGTAGTTCGCACCGAGATGTCTTCACTGTGATCAGATCCGTTCCTATGCATCTGAACATCAGTCTCCAAACATTCTCACCATCGTGCGATCCAGCTCAACACACAGGAGCTCTCCGCAGTACCAAGTGGTCGGCGAGCGAGCTGGCCCCTTTTGGCTTCACGCTGGGCTGCCAGCTCCATGGGGGCGAGCAAGGAGCTAGCTTCGCATCGTTGCGAGTTGCTCGAGGCTAGATGTACACCACTCTCCCCAGCTCAGGGAATTTTCTCGACATCACTAACGCAGCCTCAACAAATTGCTTGGAAGCGATCCTGTTGTGTCAGTAGTATAATCTCAACTTGGATTAGTCATATTCGTAGTCAACCGGTGTAGCATTTCATGGTGCTCAGTCCAGCCATAACGGATTGGGGCGCGGCGCTCCAAACAAATAGCGTAGTGTTGTGCTACCAGCGTCTTTTGATCATCGTACCGTGATAAACCGGAATAGTGCCGCTCTTTACCCGTTTCTTTCCATTTTACACCAATCACAGAGTTTTCAATTCTTTATTTTGACGAATCATCGATCTCCGTTACTCGCCTGCGTCGTTGAGCGCTCACTTCCACTTTTGCGGTCTCGCGCTCACATCGCCCAAGCCGAAAGAGAGCCCTAAAATACCGCGTAAGTGGTCGGTATTGGGACGTGAAGCACCATGGAAGGCCAATGGCGATCGGAGATCCCTGAGGACATGCGCAAGAAGATGATCACTGAAATGTACGTCTCCCCCTGTGCTCTTCGCAGCGTTTGAGAGGTTACGGCCGCTCTAGAAGCATCGACAGGAAACGGCTCGCCTCCCCCCTTCCCCTCATGCTCCCTATTAGGGTCAAAATTGCACCAGATATACTGACATTGCGTATACACGCAGGTATCATGAGCTGGCGCGTATCTCCGGCGAGGTAGACAAGCAGAAAGTATGGGGATCGGCAGCCAAATTCGAGCTGATGCTGTGGTCCAGCAGCCCCGACCGAGTAAGGATACATCACTGTTGGTGTAGTGAATAATCGTACTGACTGTGGCTGTTTGTATGCAGAACTCGTACCTAATGAAGATGCAGCGTAAGATCATGAGTCTCAAGAAGAAGCCCGGTGCCGGCGAGATGCAGCAGCCCAACATGATGGCTAACGCCAACAACGTCGTGACATCCAACGCTATGAACGCTGCAGCCACTGGCATGAACAACGGACTTAATATGAACATGAACGCCGCCAACATGGGCGCCATGAACGCACAGCAGTTTCAACAGAACAATGCTGCTGTGAGTGCAGCCATGAACAACTTCCAGCAACAAGCTCAAGCTCAGGTTCAAGCTCAGGCACAGGCACAAGCTCAAGCTCAGGCACAGGCACAAGCTCAAGCTCAAGCTCAAGCTCAAGCTCAAGCTCAAGCTCAAGCTCAAGCGCAGGCTCAAGCGCAAGCTCAAGTTCAGCAACAGAACGCAGCGGCGCTGGCTGCTGCAGTGTCCAATGGTGTGAGTGTTGGCGCCTCGACTGCATTAAACCCGGCAGTGACGGCTGGCTTGAACGCTACCAGTACTGCTCCGACGACGGCTGGCACCACTCCGTCAGTGAGTATCCCTACTGCTCCGCAACAGCAGGCGCAGCAGTGGCTACAACGTATCCAAGTGCAGTTCCAGGCCCAACAGCGACAGCTTCTGCACACGCAGAACCAAGAGACGCAGCAGCTTCGTCAACAGCATTTGAACCAGCAACAACAGCTCACTCAGCAGCAGCAACAGCAAGGAGTGGCCCCTGATCTGCGCCGTCAACAGCTCCAGACTCTGCAGCAACAACACCAACTGGCGCGGACTCGCCTCCAACATCTCCACAAGAGCAAGCAGCAACAATTGCAGCGCAAACAGCAGCAATATTTGATGCAGAAACAGCACCAGCTTCAACAGCAGCAGCAGCAACAAGGTTCCATTGCCGCCACGCCAGCTACAGCTACTACGACCGCTGTTCCATCCACAGCCATGATGGCTACACCGCAAACTGGCGCCACGACTGCGTCCATGTCTCTTCCCAATGCAACGACGGTGCAGACTACGGCTCCTACGGTCCCAACGACGCAAGCAGCGGCGACTCTTACGGCTGCGCAGCGTGGCGTCAAGCCGGAGCAACTGGCAGCTGCACACACGCAACAGGCGGCGATGCGAGAGCTGCAGCGTGCGCAGAACACGACCCAGTTACAAGCCGATGCGTTGAAGCACCAGCTCCCGAATGGCACGACTGCTACCACTGCATCGTCGACTCCTGCGGTCTCTGCGACGACTGCGACGACCACAACAACTACAACTGGAAACAGCAGTCAGACGTACGTGGAGAGACTGAAGGAGATGAAGCAGAAGTACTGGGATGATCTGGTCATTGTGTACCGCGAGTTTGAGCGCATGGTCAAGCAGAAACCAGCCAATCAGCAGCAGGAGCGTATCAACACTTTCCTAGTAAACTTGAAGCGCATCATCGCGCTCCTGCAGCAAGACCCATCGAAGGTCACGAGCAGCAACAAGAACGACCTGGATCGAGTGGAAGCTCACATTCACAAGCAGGTGCTGCCAATTCTGGAGCGTTTGAAGAACAAGACGCGCGCTGCGGCGGGGAACGGAGCCAATGGGACTGCAGCAGCTCAACAGGAACAGCTCAAGAAGACGCAGGAAGCTCAGCGACTCGCACAACTACAAGAACAGCAGAAAAAGATGCAAGAACAACAGAAAGCAGAGGCTCAACGTAAACTGCTTGAAGAGCAGAAGAAAAAGTTGCAACTCGAAGCTGCAGCAGCCGCAGCTGCCAAGAAACAAGAACTGTTAGAGCAACAACGTCAGCAGAAACAAAAGCAGCTTCAGGCTCAACAAGCTCTCCTCCAACAGCAGCAACAACAGCGACAACAGTTGTTGGCTCAGCAGCAAGCGCAACTCAAGCAGAACCAGATGCGTATGAACGCAGCCGCGCAACCTGCAGCATCGGGAGCAACGCCGGCTACGATGCTGGCTACGGGGAACGGCCTTGCCACACCGGCTACAGCGAATGGAACTGGCGTATCGCCTACAAGTCTCGGAGCTTCGTTACAGACTCCAATTGATGTGTCGACGTCGTCTGCAGGAGAGACCAGTACAACGAACGGCATGGCGTCATTGACTCCGGCGCAGTACCGAACGTTCAAGCTGCCAGAGGCGCGTAAGCAGCAGTTGACAGCCCAACACGCCAAGTTACGTGAGCAACAGCAAGAGCTCATCATGCAACAAAGTCGAGCCAAGACGCCGTCGCACCAGGCGAAGTTGGCGCATCAGGCTCAACGTCTTGCACAGATGATCAACAAAATCTCGCAGCAGTTGGTGCAGTGCAAGCTGGCGGAGGAGTACGAACAGTCCAAGAACATGGGCATGGCCTCGACGATGTCACAGCCACTATCGCAGCCCACTGCGACGGCGACGGCGCTTACCAACACTACGACTGTGAAGCCAGAGACCTCTTCCACTGCTACGCCTGCTGTGAATGGAGTTGCTCCTGCTGCATCGGTCGCTGCTGTGGCTCCTGGATTAGTGCCGGATGCTTTGAAGGTTGACACTCCTACAACGGTTGGTGATACTACAACGAAGGTGGACGAGAGCTTCAAGTCAGTGTTACCCGACATGACCGGGCTGGGTGCGTCCGAGAAACTACTGACTGCCGTAGCTGCCTACGAGAAACACAAGCCCGAGGTGTTAAAGCGTGGAGCGTCACGGTTCTCGCGCATTGCTGTCACCATCGGAGCCAAGCTCAACACATCCTACGTGACTTCCTAGAACGTATGTCGAGAATAGTCGGAGACTTCGTGTTTTTAAACAACACCCTGGCTCAGCGATAGCGAGAAAATGGGAGATGATGAGGACGTGGCAAGGATAACACGCTCAAGTCGAAGCAGCACACGCACGTTCACACAGGATCAGATAGGGAAGCAAATACTTTTTGCTTTATTTATGAAGAAATGCTGGTGTTGATTGTGGTTGTTTAGAAAAGTGTCCACTGAATGTGTTGCCTTGCTTTCGATCTGAAGTGCGTCTTCGAGTCAGTGCAGCCATGTCGTGAGGGATTTGCTGAGGTTGGCTGGTGGCATGTTAGAAGATTGTTCCGCTGCATTGCAGCTTACATGAACTCTCGTGACGAGTGAATACGTGTATTCTCCATGCTCTCTCGAGACAGTCGTGGCCAGTACTTACTGGAAACGACTGTCGTAGCTACATACCTGGTCCTGCTTCCTTTAGCAACATCTTGTAAGTGTGATACGACAACGATGTAATCATTATCGTTCACAAATTGTAATCACGATACCGCATAATTTAATTACATGCACAAATACTGCGCCTCTTTTCTTTGATTTCTAGCGCTTTTTAGCGGCTAGTTTGTTATCTCTTGATCACATTACAGTAACAGCAATGATTGCCCATATTTCAATTCAATTCTTTTCCTGAACACCCACAATCCGCAACAACAACTTGGTCGTACACACGTTGGGCTACTAGTACATGGAATCCGCTAAATACAGATATTATTCGTGCTCTCCTCGGCTTCACGATACGGATTCCTGTGAACACTGCAGTGCAGTCTGCACCCGTTGACCGACGATATCTTGAAGTCGCCGAAATAACAGCTGCTCTGTGTTTTGTACACGTATACATGTATGCAACATCATTTCCGTCCGCTCGTTGTTCGGTCGATCGGGCGGACGGGCGGACTAAATTCGTGTTAGTCACACAACTTGATCCACTTACTTAGTTCAAGTCGCATTTCGGCCGTGTGAAACAGTCGAATCGAGACTCTCAGTCGAAAAGCAGACGCCAAAGCGCAAGAAACAAGTCGGAGCCCCCTGGAGAGCTTCCGCTGTCCCTCGAGTCCCCGCAATTGCCCGCAGCTCTCTGCAGGCTTTTCGTACACCTTCACTGCCAACCAAAGCTTTCAAAGCATTGGCCCGCGAGAGATCTCCATTGCTCTCTCCGTTCCGGTGCTGCTTTTTCGCATACAAGAGGTCGAGAGGAATCTCAATCGTCCGCCGTCAGCTGCAGTACGCCTGACCATTGGCAACGACGTACAAGTTGCCTGAGCTTACTCTCAACGTACTAGAAGTCATCTGCCATGTCGACAATCATGGTGGAACAACCCCGCCAATCAGGGATGGCTACACCCGCTGGTTCCAGCTCTGCTGTCAAGTCGCAGACCTCGAGTGCGAATGGGACGAAGGAGCCTGCATCTAATGCATCTAATGCATCTCCCGAGCCCATGGATGTCGATATGGGCCAGCGAGAAGTGGAGAACACATCAGCGAATAGTACCAACGTGGTGATCAATGGGAAGCTGAAAGCTGGCGCGTCGTCCACAGCGGATGCGACTACCAAACGCAATCTGGAGAGTCCGTCCGAGACGTCGAGAAAACTCGTAGAGCAAGCCAAGCGCCGACTGCAGATCCAAATGCAGTTCGTCGAAAACGCAAGACGTAAGATCTTGGATGAGACACACCCGGACATGACAGAGAGACTGCAAGCGCTGATTGAGGAGCGCGACCGACTGCTGCATTTGGCAAAGCAGCGGAGCGATTATTTCCAGCACGGCACAACCGTGATCTTTGACTACGAGTGTGACGAGGCCAACTCGGAGTACGAACTTAACTGCGAGAAGCTACGTCAAGATATGCTGGAAGAAATCCACCATGAGATGGAGATCCTTCACGACCAGCGCAAAGGAGGCCACAGCTATGGTAAGAAACAACTTTTATTAGTTGTTCTGAGCACTTATTTTAACGTTCTGGTATGTCAATTGGGCAGCTCGAACTACGACTCGTAAGACGCGTAGTACTCGGAATAAAACCGACTCGGACTCGGGTTTCGTTCTAGACACGGCGCAGAAGATCAAGAAACGCGCTGGCGGGTACGTGTTCCAGCCGCTGGAGAACAAGCTGGGCCAGTCCGAGATTGACCACGATGTGCGGGAGCTCACGAGTGTGTATGAGGCAACGAAGAAGCGACGTATGGAGTTCGACACCGGTATATGTCTTGTAATATTTTCTCATACCGTTATGATCACTGATGAGGTGCTGAATGCTATGCAGATCGTGAGGTCACCCCTGTGGCCAAATATTACCGGAATAAGTTCTTGTACCGAGACTGGATCTTTCAAGAGGGAGACGAGGTATATGTGCTCAACTACCCGGCATCCAGTGAATATGCCGCTGTTATCTGCGGTATCACGCCCACGGAACTCCTCGTTCTGTCGGAGAAGGGCAAATACTACCGCTTGGTCATCATGGACATTCGGCAGGGTCGAGTGGTGCTCACCACGCTGTCATCAGAGCAGGCTGCCTCCCGAGACGATCTCGGCGACGCAAGTCCATAGACACACCGCTCTAGTTGCCGGTGTCACGCTTGTTCTTGTCCCGCCTTGTCTTAATTTTGCTTATCCAACAATTACTTGAAACAAACTTTTACAGTGCCATTGAGTTGCCATTGAGTCGCTCAGATATATTGGGTCTGTCTGCCAGCTACGTTCCTTATTTTCTATACGAATCGTAGCCTGCATCCTGCAATTCACAGCCACAAGAGCAGTTTTACTGTCCAGCGGTAGCCTCCTTTGCTCGCTTGTCAGCGAGATACTTCGCTGCTGCCGCCTTCTTTCGTTCCTCTTCGGCCTGCTTTTCGGCGTACATCTCGGGCACCTCGAGACCCACACGACGCGCTGAGGCGTTGACGATCTCCTGTCCTGTGAGTTTCTTCTCCACACCCGCATCCAACGCCCACAAAAACTGAGGAGTGATGCATAAAGAGACTTGTCAGTTACATTTGACTCAGATTTGGAATTGATACACGGAGATGCACGTACGCGCTGCTCCTCGATGCCCTGCAGCAGCATCAGGTAGTCACTAGCCTCAGCACGGTACACACGCATTTTGGCACGGTCGTTCTCATGCTGTCGCGATCGGTACTGCAAGAACAAATAGTGTCATCGTGTCAGATATTGTGCGGCGGAGAGTGTTTTGGAGGCTTAAGTTGTTAAGAGTCCGCACCTGCGCTAGGATCTGCTGCGAGAACTTGCAGTCGCGGATAGAATCCTGCGACCCACGCGTACGCGCTACGCGCAGCAGCGAGCGCAGGTTCTTGAGTACGTCCGCCTTCGAGCCAATACGCACTCCTCGCGCCGCCATTGTTGATGTTTGGTGTCGAGTTTTGCTGAAGTATGTGGTGTGGTAGACGTAGTTTAATGGGGTGAACGTAAATGATGTGGTTAACATTATTAACATTTGATTGGCCAGGTTGTTTTCACCAATCGCGATGCTCGGGATCTGATTAGCAAACTTGTTTGTCACTCAAATGGCTTCGTTACCCAACACCCACGGCATTGCAGCAATGTCAGATTCCCTTGCGGACTCCACTCTTCATTCTACAAGCTGCAGTGATCTTCACACATCTCAAGACTCAATTTTTAAACCATGGCAACTGGAACTACGACCCCTGTCGCCAACGGTACCGAGCCCACTACCAACAATGTAGGCACCTCGTCCATCGAGGAAGCGCTTGAAACCATTCGCCAGGGAGGTTTCGTAGTCGTCATGGACAATGAAGACCGCGAAAACGAGGGCGATCTGATCGCTGCTGCTGAGTTCGCTACTGAGGAGCGCGTCGCGTTCATGCTGCGTCATTCCACTGGCATCGTGTGCGTACCAGCTCTGCCCTCTCGACTCGAAGAGCTTCAGCTGCCTTTGATGGTGGAAAACAACACGGAGGCTCACAAGTGCAAGTTTGCTATCACGGTCGATCTAAAGGAGGGTAACTCAACAGGCGTCTCTGCTGCTGATCGTTCACGCACAATCCGTGCACTTGCGGACGCAAAGATCAGCCCTACAGCGTTCAACCGACCGGGCCACATTTTCCCATTGCTGGCACAAGAAGGTGGCGTGATGGTACGTGCTGGGCATACGGAAGCTGCGACCGACCTCGCGAGATTGGCTGGAGTCAAGCCTGTAGGCTATTTGTGCGAGATCATGGGAGACGATGGCCGAATGCTGCGACGTCCGCAACTCCAGGAGTTCTCCCAGACGCACAATCTGCCGCTCGTCACGATCTCGGACTTAATTTGCTACCGTGTCCGCACAGAGACGCTTGTTCAGCGAACTCAGGCCAATGTCACAAAGATCTCTACTCCGTTTGGAGAGTTTTCATCGATGGAATACAAGTCACTTGTACACGAGGACCAGACGTACCACGCGCTTGTGCTTGGCGACGTGAGCGGACAGAAGAGTGTGCCGGTGTTCCTGGTGGAAGATGGGTTCGAGGCTGCCTTGCAAGCACAGTGGGCCCAGAGATACGTGGCGAAGCATGGCAGCGGTGTACTCGTCTACACCCATGGGTCGGCACAGCTCCTGCAGATTAGTGGCGAGCTGATGGCGCGTCAGAGTATCTTTGGCATGGCCATGCAGATCGTGCGCGACTTGAAGGTTAAATCGGTGCGTCTGCTGACAGCGACGGAGTCAAGTCTCGACACCAATGGCTTTGGCATTGAAATTGCTAGCAGCGAGCATCTTGCAACATCGGCATAAGTGTAGGTAGACTTACATTTCGGTCAAGACGCACATCTGATAGACTACAAATATCAAGTTGCAATGAAGTACATGTAGAGATTCAATTTGAGAGTTTTATCCTGTCAAGTACTAGCTTTGCATGCGTCTTGCAGCAAGGTTGCTCAACCAAGAAGGTTGATGGTCACTGCCGTACGTGAACAACATGGGACACGTTTGGCCACGTTGGTGTTTGCGTCAACCGCCCGCGCCACGTCACTCGGTGTTCCTCATTGGTCTAAGTCAATAAAGTTTCTACCAATCGCAAACTACCTCTTACAGTGTATAAACTCTTATCAGTACATGAGCACAAATATCGTTTTGAACAGAATTGTCATTTCTAAATCATATACAACTTTCATATAGACTATCTTGCTATTCTCGCAATCTCTTCCATGCCACGCCCGATTACGATTGCAATTTCACTATCCATTCCTCTCGCCCGCCTGTCAACCTTGTCTGGCACATTGCTACATCAACCTCTTCCAGCTCAAGTCTTCATCTCTCACCATGGCTACTGGCACTAATTCGAACGGTTTGACCTCCGCCAAGAATGCTGGCACCACCTCCATCGAGGAGGCACTGGACACCATCCGTAAGGGCGGCTTTGTGGTCGTCATGGACAACGAGGACCGCGAGAACGAGGGCGACCTCATTGCCGCCGCCGAGTTCGCCACAGAGGAGCGCGTTGCTTTCATGCTGCGTCACTCGACGGGCATCGTGTGTGTCCCTGCACTTGCTGATCGCATCGACGAGCTGCAACTTCCGCTAATGGTGGAGAACAACACGGAGGTGCACAAATGCAAGTTCACAGTGACTGTGGATCTCAAGGAGGGCAATTCAACGGGCGTCTCGGCTGCTGACAGAGCGCGTACGATCCGTGCATTGGCCGACCCCGCTGTGGGCCCAACAGCGTTCAACCGTCCTGGTCACATCTTCCCTCTATTGGCTCAAAACGGAGGTGTCATGGTGCGTGCTGGTCACACAGAAGCCGCCACGGACCTCGCACGTCTGGCCGGCGTCAAACCTGTAGGCTATATCTGCGAAATGAACGACGAGAACGGCCGAATGTTGCGTCGCCCGCAATTGCAAGAGTTCTCTAAGAAGTTCGATGTGCCATTGATCACAATTTCAGATCTGATTCGCTATCGCTCGCGAACGGAGACGTTGGTACAGCGTATGGAAGAGCAGAGCAACGTTACTACCCCGCTTGGAGAGTTCGTCAGTGTGGCGTACAAGTCACTGGTACAGGAGAACCAGACGTACCATGCGTTAGTATACGGCGACGTGAATGACAAGGACGTCCCGGTGTTCCTAGTCGAGGACGGCTTCGAGGCGAGTCTGCAGGCTCAGTGGGCACAGAAGTTCGTAGCTACTTACGGCCACGGCATCTTGATCTACATTAACGGCTCGGAACAGCTCCTGCAGATCAGTGGAGAGCTCATGGCTCGTCAGAGTATCTTTGGCATGGCAATGCAGATTGCGCGCGACCTAAAGGTGGGCTCTGTTCGGCTACTAACGACGACGGAGGCGAGCTTCGACCCTCATGGCTTCGGTGTTGAGATCTCGGGTACTGAACACCTTGCTACATCAGCGTAGATCGATAGATAGGACTATGATTTGATAGAAAACACTTTGCGCTGTTTAGCTTTAAAGTTCTTAGGCATTTACACGTATGAAGTCCAGGCATGCAGTGTACAAAGCGTGCATGTTCTGTGCTGTCAAGAAGAACGTCCTACCCGTTGGGCTTCTAAGTTCCTGGATAGAGTATGTCAGCACCCTTTTTCTAAATTAGAGTTTAGAAATACTCTAATCGTCTCAGTTACGGGGAACTTGACGGTAAGCCTTCTGCTTGGAACGGGAGCGCACGAATAACAGGTAGCCGCCCACAGCTGCAACGGGGAGAATGTACCAAGCGAACAGCGTCACAGGTGGAGCACTAACACCTTGTAGACCGTCCTTGGGCTTCGTCTTCGTGTCTGCAACAAGGTCCAAAGTGTTGGCGGCGTTCTTGATACCGAGCTCAGCGTCCTTCTGGCGGTACTCGTAGCCACCTTCAGGCTCTACAGCGGTTGGTCCTGTTGTCTGCGGCTTCGCTTCCACAGCAGCAGTCGGCTTAGGAGCCTCCGTCTCTTCCTTATTAACTGCTGGAGCATCAGTCACCTTGCGTAGAGCTGCAGCTGTGGTCATGGGGGCAGTTACCGCTAATTTAACCAGAGGAACGCTAACGTCACGGTAAGCATAGGTCCTGCTCATCCACTTGTCCACTTCCACCATCTCCCACGCAGCTTCAGTGCCACAAGTAGGACAAATCTCGGGCTTGGGCCAAATAGGGTGATGCAGACGCTTATTGACCGAGTTGTGCTGTTCCCACAGCCAACGACGCAAAGCTAAAGGCTTATCCTCTGCGGCCTTGATCTTCTTGACTGCTTCGATCGTATTCTCCTTCAAGAAGTGGTCACGGCAATTCACACAACCAAAGAAATGCTTCATAAAGCGACGGATGGATGCAACGACAGACACCATAAGCTCCGCACTGCGTGTACCGGTCTCAGGAGGGTTCATCGTCAGCATGTGGAACATGTTCCATTGACCGCACGTATACAACGCACAGGCACGGTAAGTGGCTCCTTGACCCATGAACAGATTGTCCAGACGCTGCCATTCAGGAACGGTAATACCGGTAAAGTCATACCGTTCTTCCTCTGCCTTAAAGGCGGCAACTGAGCCCTCCTGCCACTCTTTAACGATGGCATCCCACGTGTCAAAGTCCAGCAGTTCCTTATCCTTCACCTTCTCGTACAAAGGTCGGATAACCTTCCGGTTAATCGCTCCAGGGAATGTCTCGGACACCATCTTCAGCCAGCCCTTAAGCGCATCAAACTCCTCGTCATCCATAACGTCGCTGGCCATAAACGCGCCCTGTTTGAGGCCGAACACGAAGGCCGAAGCAGCGTCCTGGATACGCGTAGTCTGGTTCATTGGGAGCGTGGATTCCTCCCAAATAGCCGGCTTCGGGGTCTCTGTAGCCTTGGGAGGTTCCTTTCCGTTGGATGCGGCTTTGATTTCAGCGGTTTTCTTCTCTTCTTCTTCTTTCTTCTTCTTTTCCTCTTCCTCCTTGGCCTTCTGCTCCGGAGAAACGTATCCGGGCGGCCAGGTGCCCGTCTCGTTGAAGGCAGCTTCAGCGAATACACTGTTCACATAGTCTTTCACTTCCTGTACAGTATGAGTGCCGATGATCCGCTTGTTCTCCTTCTTGGGGTTCTTCTTGTCGAAGTTGAGCGTCATCAGAGTCGGGAAACCAGTAATACCCACGCGACGACACTTGACGTGGTCCATGCAGCTCAATGCTCCGACATAAATGTTGCCTTTTTCCTTGTAGTAGGCTGCTAGCTCGAAGTATGCAGGCGCAAAGTGCTTGCAGTGCGGGCAGCTGTATCACAACCGGTATAAACGTCGTAATTAGGTCAGTTCACGCTGTGTTTCGACGCAATAACCTCGGTTAAAAGGTTCTAAAATTGATGTTTAACGTACAAAGGGTGGTAGAAGTCGACGATCCATGGCTTGTCCGTCTTGGCCATGTGCTCGTCCCAGTTCTTGTCCGTCAGGTACGTGATGTTGGGGTGACCGTCGGGGAAGAGTGGCTCGCCCTTGTCCTTGGGGTCGACGGCAGCCCCCGAGACGGAGCCGGACGACGTCAGTAGCGCCGCGGCCGACGCCAACGCCCACAGCAACTGCATTATACCAGTCAGAGGAGAGCACGAGGCGCGCTTGAACTGCCAAGTGGAAGAGTGACACTGGGAAACCGAGGAGCTCTTCAGACCAGATGTGGTGGAGGTGATGGAGGGAAGGACTAAAGGACGTTGTATCAGTATGAGCCGGATAACGGACGATTAATTTCTAAACGATAAAAGATGAGAGGTGAGCTGGCTAGAAGTTGATGTCGTGAACACTAATCAGCTGTGGAGTGATCGAGGAGATTTGACTTCTATGGTGTCGACCTCAGGAACTGATGCCTGCTTCGCGTCCGTAAGCATCGTTATCTTCGAGGAATAACCATGTTGGTTAACTGGTTCTTATTCAACACACAGCAATTGATCGGGAGTGGTTGGCGACGGAAGTAATCTAACCTCCATCTCCAATCTGTACTAACGTTTCTCTCTACTGCTGCCATCCACGCTTTAGGCCGGGATTTGGCAACGACTAAACATTGCACCTTGCCTTCACAGATCGGTAACGGAAGATATTGTATGTCAGGTTAGCGTACTTCTGTGAAACCGAGGGTAACTACGTGAGAAGGAAAGGTAACGGGTCGAGAAGTTGACAATGCTTTCGATCGTCAAGAGAGCAAAATAAGATTATTAATCATTCATCGCCACCACGTGTTGGACGCTGCATTCGCGATCTCCGTGGCAACTACCCGTACTTCATTTGCACCACAACAGCAGCAAATTACGAGTTGAGTCACGTAAAGATATGCTTACACACGAAAACCTTAGTGGTTGCTAAGGTACGTGCAACGACCTGCAACTGTAGAGAAGAGTTTAATCTTCGCCAAATAGGGGGGGGGGGGAGATCCGAGGCAACGATACTGAATTCGACGGGGTGTTTTTTTTTTCGAGCTTGAATCAACTTGTCAATCGGCCTGTCATATTCTATACTGAAAGGGCACAAGGGTTTCTACAGTGCTTATATCACTTCGCTTGATCAAGGCCGAAACAAGATAGATTTTTGGTAGAGTAAAACTGACTGGAATACTACATTGACTTACACCGAGAGCTGTAGCCGTTGGCATCTTCCACAAATCGACTTACTTGCAGGTACTGCTGTTAGGGACGAATGTGCCATCCGAGTTCTGACAGCCGCAGTTTCCAGTGGTGGGGTCCTTGACGCAATCAGTTCCGAAGCCGCTGTCCGCACCGCTCCCACTGTACACACAAGAACATTAATATCTTGCATCGTTTCTTGCTCGATATCAGTGCACTTACTTCCAGAAGAACGTCCAGCAGTCGTCGTTGTCCTCCATTTGGTCCGAGGTAGGCGGGTCACACGTGTACGCAGAGCAGGTCCCGTAGGGGTAACCGTTGTTGCCATCGTACTGATGATCAGTCACAAAGACGGCGAAAGTCTGCGTCTCGGAGGTTCGGGTGTTGTGCGAGCACTCAGCAGCCTGGATGGCTGTAGACACTTTGGTCACACTGCAGTTGTAAGTACTCGGACATTTTCCCTTCGTGTTGGAGCTGGCCGGATCCAGAGTCGCCGCGACGAGAGCTGGGGATACGAGGAGGACGAGAGCAAAGGTGAGGCGCATCTTCGCTGGGATTACGGTAGTTGTAGTTGAACGACTTTTTGGTTTTTGGGAAAAACGGAAAATGTGAAACCACAGGCGCGTAGCAACTCGATTTCACAGTCGACTTGCACGCGGATGATTTCCAGCACCTTGGCCGTCAACCAGTTGATCTTTACATCATCAATAGGGCGTAACTGTCGTGTGGTTCGAGAACCACAGATGTAGCCAGGTGGCGGCACGCACTCGCTGTTTGCGGGCCGAATATTGAACTGTCAAGATATCGAGTAGATTCCGGTTACGGTAATGGAGCAACAATTCGAACCCGAAAACACCAAATGCGTTATTACGTATTTCCTGAACTGGATCCAGGCTAGTATTTCATTTTTAGTTTTTGTGGGTGACGAAAGGCAGGAAGCACTTGCATTCCCGTGAGATTTAGTAATGCTTGAATGATCCTTCTCTTACTATCGATACATGCGTCGGATTGTCGTTCTGCTTTTTGCGATGGTTAAGCCAGGCAGACTGACAGTCTGACAATTGATCCGCACGCACGTATTGTTCGTAAGAACAAGCACACTACTACTACGAAGAATCTTATTCCAAATGCCGCCTGCTACCTTGTAGCAACCTCTATTTACTACATAACGGCACGTGCTGAATTCACTACGTCTGCATTATCGTGCATACACAGAGGCATCAAATGTCGATCTGTCATTGCCTTTGAGTCTGAAAAATACAAGCTGATCAAGAAAGTTGTTTTCTGTTGTTTTCTTTAGAAATCAATTGAAAAGGTTATTTTGATTTAGAAATAATTCTATTAATTGTTATTTTCTAAAAAACTTTAAATTTTGAAGGTAAACCTCGTTGTCTAGTTCACCTCCATGAAGCGTAAGCAGCCGGACGAGAAGGCCACTACACCGTCTACTTCTAAACCATCGAAGGAGCGCAAGCAGTCAAAGAAGATCCCAAAGCAGCAGCGCGTGGGAAACTTTAGGAGGTGAGTATCAGTCGCCTTTTCCGAGCCATTCCTTCGTATCCGCTAACATTGTGTTGACACAGTTATTACACGTATCGACTGGGTCAGAAGCACCAGGGCGAACTGGAGGATGATCCGCGTCTTGCTGCGCTGGATAAAACCTGGTTTGAGGGCAAGCGTGGCTTAGATGTTGGCTGTAACTCTGGAGAGTTTACGATCACCATCGCTAAACGACTAGATCCAAGCTATCTGCTTGGAGTGGACGTGGACCCGCAGCTTATTTCCAGAGCTAGAGGACATTTGAAGGACATTTTACGACAGGAACAAATCGAAAAAGCCTTTGTTGAGATTCCAGCGGTTAAATCCACTGCAAAGAATGAGGATGGACCAGTAGCGTCTGCTGCTGATGGAGAGAAGGAGAGTATGAACGAGGAAGAGGAAGGTAGCAAGAAGAATGATGGTGGAGACGCTTTTGCCAACGACATGCCGCTATCTTTTAAGCTGTGGAAGCCATCGACGCAGACTCAAACTACTGTGCCTCGTGCCATTGGCAAGGCTGCTGTCGGGTACGTTCATATTGACATCAGTTAGGTATAGCGGGAGCTATCTCGTTTCTAATTAGGTCTTCGTAATGACTCAGCTCCAAGTTCCCGTTGAATGTGGTATTCAAGCGAGAGGATATTGTGTCAGATGCTCATGCAGGCAAAGACTATGACTTTATCACGTGGTACGTTCATGTTCATAGATCAATGCTTCGTATAGATGGCGTTCTAATGTCAAATTTCTTTGTTGTGTGCAGCTTCAGTGTTACAAAGTGGATCCATCTTTTCCATGGCGACGAAGGTATCAAGAAAGTGTTTGCTAAGATTTACGAGCTGCTGGCGCCTGGTGGTCGTCTCATCCTCGAGCCACAACCGTGGAAATCGTATCACAAGCGGAAGTTCACGTCTGAAGTCACTGCAACAAACTACCCCAAGATCCAGCTACGACCCAAGGACTTTCCAAAGCATCTCGTGGAATCCGTAGGCTTTCGTAGCTGTGAGTTTCTTGAGGTCTGTCAAACATCCTCGAAGGGTTTTCGGAGACCAGTCTACGTTGCTCAGAAATGAGCTAAGGAATATACCTACAAGGTCGTTTTCATCACTTACCACTCGTTTGTCTTCGTGCACGCGTCTATTAAGGCTCGTCCAAGGCTGTGAGCCCCAAGGGACTTAAGTGGTCTACCCGTGACCAAAAGCGATGGCAAATTACCTGCCATACCGCAGGCAAGATGCCGCAGTAGTCTTCCGTTCACGCGACTCGAAAGCAGCTCCTTGAGTTCCTGACTGCGCTCGACTACAGCTTCAGCCTCCACCCCGATGTCCACTACAGAAAGTCTCAGAATCCACCTCTCCGTTCTTGAGCTGTAGCATAGCAAACATTATTTGTTTCAGCAACAAACACATCATCCAACCACCTTCCAAATAGCTTCGTCGTACCCTTTCGAATGATCGCAGCAGCTTGTCCTCTCGGCGCGCCGCCACCAACTCCTCCTTGGCCCAGTGTCGGTATCGCGCCCTTGTGTTTCTTCCACATCTTGACTCGTTTAAACATCGGCGCGTGCTTCAACGTGCACCATATCAACAAGAGCAACAGCAAATAGCAGCGACACCATTCGGCAGGTCAAGGCAACTAACCGCTGGAGTAGCAATGGACAGGGATATCCTATCCTAGAGAAATATGTATGGTGACATTGGGTTGTAAAGGATATATATCAGGGAAGACGATGAAGAGGATCTGGCTGCCGCGCAGATAAACCTGCTCCACCTGGGAGGTGTTGCCATTGATGTCGGTGCGCACGGCGTCCTTCATAACGCAGTTCATGTTGTCCTCCGTCTCGTCCAGCAGTCCGCGGTACGTCTCGCCTGTCTTCATCTCAATGGACACGATCGTGCCCTCGCCGTCGTGCAGCAAAATCGTCGGGATGCCGACACCGCGCTTGCCCGTCACCGCCATCGCGAAGAGCCCGGTACAAATATGACAAAATTTCGGATAGCACTACTCAATTAAGTACGAAAATGGCTTCTAACCAATCAGACAATTTCTTAGTCCGATTATTATTCCTTAGCATGAATAAAAAGCGAGGAAAAATAACAGTAATTTGCCGCTAAATTATCGCACGTTTATTATGGGGACGCCTTCATACCTATCTCTACCGAGAACCAAGCCATGTGCTTAGCAGCAATGCACGCCACCAGCAACAAGCGGCTTGAACAACAGAGAGCAGGAACGGTAGAAGGGACCCATCGGTCGGAAGACGCCGCTTAACGGTACGACTTCTGGAAGCGAGCACGGGCACTGGAACCACCGAACTTCTTGGCCTCGCAACGACGGGGGTCGGCGACCAGGAGGGTACGGTCGTAGGCGAGCAGGATGTCCTTGATCTCCTTCTTGGAGGCCTCGTCAACGTCTGTATAGAATCAATCATGCCAAATGTGAGATGTTGATCCGTCAACAGCCTTCAGTGACGGCACAACTTACACTTCTGGTAGTAGGCAACGATGGCCTTGGCGATGGCCTGACGGATCGCGTAGATCTGAGCGGTGTGACCACCACCCTTCACGCGGATGCGGATGTCCACCTGGAGTTCGTCATTGTCAAAGGAACACAACACGTCAGCGCACCATATCGATCGTCAGGTAGGGAGGGTGAGTGCAAGCCAGTTGCGACAGCATGGTATTTACACGACGGTAAACAGAGCATGCACACAGATTATTTGGGAGGTGCGAGTGCTTTTCACAGCAGAACGTGTGCGTTGTGGTGGGTGGACACTCGAGGCCAGAGCAGCAAAGGCTGTAGGCGGTCCGAGAGGTGGCAAACGAGCTTAGCGTTGAGCACACCTCGTGTGTGGTACGGAACCCGAAGCAGGAGTGGATCGTCGTCACGTCCAACCGTTCATGTCGATACCAAAACTGTCGTGTGTAGCCTGCGACTCGAAAGAGAAGTGGAAAATCATCGTACGTTGGCGAAACGCTGCTGGCCCAGCAGAAGCACGGGCTCGTAGGTCTTGACGCGCAGGATCTCGGGCTCCACGAGCTCGATGGGCGTGCCGTTGACCTTGATAAGGCCGTGGCCGCGCTTGCAGTAAGCGACAGCCGTAGCGTTCTTCTTGCGGCCGAAGACCTGCACCGATTCAATCTTGCCCTCCATTTCTGATGCCTGTGCGAAAATTAGCAATGCTAGCGGCCGGAAGAGCTCCCCAGCCATGCCATGCGTCGACCAACCAATCCCCCTCACAGCATTTCAACCAATCCACATCAAGAGAATTTTCATTGGACAAAAATGGAAGATATGACGTATGTCGTTGGACAGGTACATCACCGCTACACCAGTGAACCACTCGCACAAGGCATCTACTGCACCACAGCAACCATGCGCCCGCTTACCGACGATGAGATGACAACGGTGTTCGAGAAGATCAGCAAGTACATCGGCCGTAATGTTCAGCACCTGGTGACGCGACCCGACGAGAAGTACTGCTTCCGTCTGCACGGAAACATCGTGTACTACTGCAGCGAGAAGCTTATGCGCCAGTCCACTAACGTTGGCACGGATGAGCTGCTGAGCATTGGCACGGCAGTGGGCAAGCTCACCAAGACCAAGAAGTTCCACCTGCGCATCACCTTCCTGGACTACCTGGCTCAGTACGCCAAGTACAAGGTCTGGATCAAGCCCAACTCGGAGATGTCCTTTTTGTATGGCAACAACGTCGTCAAGTCTGGTCTTGGCCGTATCACGGAGGGTACGCCGCAGTACGCAGGTGTCGTCGTCTACAGCATGAATGATATCCCTCTCGGCTTCGGCATCGCCGCGCAGGCAACAGAGATGTGCAAAGACCTGGAGCCCACGGCCTACGTGGTGCTGCACCAAGCAGACATTGGCGAGTACCTTCGCGTTGAAGACGAAATGTTTTAAAGAAGCCCCACGGCGAGAGTGGATCTCCTCTCGTGCGCCATCTACATATATAATAGACTTTTCACGCTAGTTTGTTCTTCCACAAAGCATTTATTCATGTTCTGTTACGTGCAAATTGGTGCAGTATTGTAGTATACTCTATTGCTTCACAGGTGTCGTTGGGTATTGCAGTGATCACTCGTCCAGCAGCATGGCTTTCATTGTGCTCTGAATCTGCTCGTAGGCGGCAAAAATGATGGCACCAGTGGGCATCACCTTGAGGATGTTGGCGGACAAGCCCTTGAACAAACCGATGTAGCCTTCGTGGCGGATGATCTTCAGCGTGCAGTCCCACGTGCCAGTGTATTTGTTCGCTGAAGGCCCTCCCTGTTGCAAACGAGCTTTAATCACTTGGTATGGGTACGTAGCAGTGGAGGCAATGGACTGCGCCACCGCACCCATCACCAGCGTCGGAATCATATCCATCTCAGGGCTCCAGTGTGCTTGATACAGACCCTTGAGGCGCTCGTATGCTACAAATTTGATCGCTCCATTGGTCGTGAGGAAAAGCGCAGGTATCATGCCTTTATACAGTGCTGAAACACCTTCTTCTGCTACAATCCGCCGGAAAGCATCTACACAAGCAGCCAATTACAAAGTTAGGCTTAGTCTACTTCATCCTTGCCATCGCAAGCTCGTGACGCACCTGTCACGCTTCGATAGGGTATATTCTCGACCAATTTTTTCGTTGCATCTTTACCAGTGACACTTGCTTGAAGTCGCTTATTGCTTTGCACTTGCATACGAATCTTGATGAGCCAAATGGGGTTCGTCAAAGGAACGCAGATCATTCCGGCCTCAATGCCAGAGAAAAAGTGTTGCCACGAGCCCTGGATCCATCCTTCGTCCGCCATCCGCGCATAGCGCTCCTTCGCGTTTTGGTACACGAGCATGTAGATGCCCCACGACAGCGTTGCGCCGTAGAGCGCTGGGCTCATGCCACGAAACAGTGCGCGCACACCCTCTTCAGCCACGATAGAGCGGAAAGCATGCCCCAGCGAGCGGTAGGCGTGCGCGGACTTCTCATGCACTTGGTAGCGTACCTTCACCAGGTCCAGTGGGTACAGCAGCACTGTGGACACGGCGCCAGCACCCAAGCCCGCAGTCGTGTGGATCACGCTGCGCCATTGATCCTCGGCCAACATCTCCTTGAGCGTCATTGTCGTTGCCACTCAGAGACTGGGAAATGAGTCGGAGGACGAGCTTGACCACGAAACACGTAAACGTATGTGATTAGACGAGTTCAGTTATGTGTTTGTAGAGGTTCAACTTCATCAAGCGGAGTGATGGTCACTTTGAAACCTGCGCGCGTGGAATGAAGACGACCAGGAAGCGCAGAGACCGCGGTGCGCAGTTTATCCGCAGCAACTTGGAGCTGTTGGGCTTTGAATCACGTCGAGATGCATTGGTGCAGGCTGTCAAAGAGTTGTTCGAGAATGGTGACCTTGCCCCATGTTGTAAATGCTCATGTTGAAGCAAGAATTAGTGAAGATATGCTGTGTTGTGTTACCAGCGCTGGATGCTACGCAGGCGTTGAGCTCTGACGTGTCGTGGGACGATGCACCGCTCGAGCTACTGCGTGTCAACGTCAAGTTGAATGAAGAGACCGGCAGCATTGACATTGTGTGTGCCGATACAGGCTCAGGCATCCATGCGCATCAGGTTAAACTGCTGTGCTGTAGCGCCTTTGAAACGACGAAGACCAGTGCACAAGGTGGAGGAGGATGCAATAGTGGAAAATACGGTGTGATAGTGTGCATTTTAGCTACCTGGGGCAGCAGCTCAATTTTTTGGGGGTGTTGCTGCAGGTATTGGATTGAAGGCGGCGATGTTGTACAGCCAGATGCACGCGAATGATGCATGCTTGAAGATCACCACGACCTCAAAGTCGGATGGGATTTTATACGTACAGCTTCGCATTGATCCTGACTCAGAGGAGACTGCCGTCGTGAAGAAAGTGGCCCATTTCGTCGTGGACGAAAGCCACCAGCGCTTCTCTGGTACGGAGATGCGGCTGTGTATCTCTTGTCCAGAAGATACATTGGAAGTTGAGAGCGCTGCAGATACGCTGGCATTATACTTCCAGACGCTACGGTACACCGCTCCTCCCTTTGTTGGTGTACAGTTCAACTTTGATGTTGAAGAGGTCAGCACCAGCGTCGAGTGTCAGCACAGAGAGGAACCGATCGACCGTTTCGCAGCAGACCTGGGAGCAAATGTGGATGATATTTTGTACGCGGTTCATGATGATGAATCGTTCTCTACCAGTTGCGCTGCCCTGATGCTTGGTGATATAGAACCGAGTGGCCAACACGATATCGAAGTTTGCTTGCTTCGTTATGCAAACCACACCCCGTTGATCAATGGTGAAGATTTCTTCCTCTGCGGCATCACGAAGGGAGTCAGCTCCTGGAAGGTTTGGAAGAAATTCGGTCTCCGCTGCCAGCGAACGAGCTCACAGCTCGTAAACCAACTTGTTGCAACCCCTTTGCGAGCATCAACCGGGCGAAAGAAGATCGAAGACGTTGGCGATCCGATTCGCCTCGTCTTAGCAATCGACGTATGCGTCGCTGGGTCTGCTGTCAATAATGGCATCAAATACGCAACTCTAAAGAAGAGTACGCTGGACGCATGCTATGCTGCTAGTGTACAGACTTGCTGTCGCTCTATTCTGCAGCAACTCGCAAAAGCTGGACGGCTCACCACCCCGCAGCAGCGGCAAAATCGCGATCTCGTCGAGAATTTCGCACCACTGATCGCAAAATCTCTCGCAGCGATTGTAAAACAATCGCAAGCGGATCAATTTAGTGATACTGAGGCACCGCAGCGCGATAGTAGCTCGCAAGACCACTTCAACGAGGAGCTCATCCTACAAGAGCTTCAAGGCGTTTTACGAAACTGGTAAAACGCATAAATATATAGTATCAAAGGTTATCCTGGCGAGAACTGTTGGCCACACCATCAGGAACGACCACAAAGTAGAGGAACTATGTCGGCTATCGGAGCGCTGCGCGAGCTTGAGAAGGACAAGAAGGGACCGAATAACGCCGGCCTGAAGGTGCGTGCGATGAGGTGGACTCAAAACGGAGTGCTCTCCGTTGGTCTAGATGCTGCGCAGTGGTGCTCAACGTTATTTTTTGCTGTATGTAGGAGCTGTTCCTGAACCTGCCGTCCCGACTTCGCCAATCTGGCCCCGTCAAGGGCGGAATTAACTTCGCTGTGAAGGTATTTGACGCTGCAGAGCTCCGTATTCCTCAATAATTAGTCGTGATGACGTTAATCCTTGTTCTCATTGTGGTGATTCAGAGCTGGAAGACCTCGGGCCGATGGCTGTGGGTCCTCTCAACGACGCTGCTGGTGACCCTGGTGCCCCTCAGCATTGAGGTGCGTGCGCAGATGCAAACATTATCAAATGCTGTTTTTAGAGGTGTGACGATGAAGTGACGATGGTGTTGCTACCCTTGCCATTTTCAGATGCTGCGTGAGGAGCAGACGAACGAGGTGGTGAAGGAGCTGGTGAGCAAGGGATTCAGCTACAACCAAATCCAGGGCATGGGCTACATGGTGGCGCAGCCGCAGAGCACGTTGTCGACGCCTGCTGAGGGTGCCGCCCAGTAATTTGGCAGCTAGTTCTTATCTTCGACGGCGACTTTCTGCCCCCAGACGCGCGCTTCACAGCGATTACTGGCGCGTTAGCTGTACATTTTGCTGTGTCCATGGGAGGATAAAACGATGACTTGATGACTGAGACTGCAACTGCATCTGGCAAAGAACGTCATGCTAAGGGAACTCAATAACGAAGAGATCGCGTGCATTTGGAGCCGCCGACGAGACTAAATTCCTGATCATTTTACTAATTGATCTCCTTGCCACCAGCACCATATGCAATTGGTCTGGATTCCCCTCCTGCAGCCTCGTACCAGCAGTCAGTTCTAGTCGCTTTTCTTCTTCTTCTGACTTTTGATCATGACCATGCCGATAAATGTAGCAGCGCCGCTGAAGAGCAGCACAAGCAGCACAGCGGGGATGCTGATGGCGTAGTAGTACGGCAGGAAGAATTGCTGAATCGGATGCTCTTCATCAATGAAAGGCTACCGTCAACCGCGAAGTGAACGTGTCAGCTTTAGTTACCGTAGAGGCGAATTATAGGGAGGAAGCTGAACGTACCGTGAGCAGCACCCAAATGCTGTAGTAGACGTAGACAATGACGCTGACGGCCAGCAGCACGAGGCCCACTACTTTGTCCGACGCTCCCTAGAGTTTTAAATACAACACAGCACACGGATCAGTGAACAACAAGCGGGTAGCTCACACAGCGAGCCTTACCATGTTACTCTACTGACGCAATTCTCCACACCAATAAACCTTTTTTATAAAAAGGATTAAAATACATTATTTAAGTTAATATCTTTTATTTCAAATAAATTAATTAATTTATATTACCGTAATTGACATTTTGCATTTTACTAAAAAAAACGTAAATTAACCCGGTAAAAAAAAATTAAAAGAAGGAAGGTAAAATAAGCAATGCCAAGGGCAACCGGAAAATTCAAAAGCCTTTCGAAATCCAAAGATTTTATTTTGGAATTTTAAAATTTATCTTTTTTGACATTTTTTTAAAGAATGATGTGAGATGTAAAATTAGAGGCGATGCTTTAGTTGCCTTTTGCAGTGACGTTATTTTGAATTGACTACTTAAGTATAGTCGGCGGTAGCATATATTAGACAGGGTGACGCTTTTAAAAGTGCGTAGAATTTCTGATCTAAAGTTGTCCTAAATGTCCAAAATTTTGATTTGGTTATACTATGGCCAACTAAAGATGCGAGCGCGCGTAGCCAAAACAAACCTGTGACCACGAAGCAGGGCTATGCGGTATTTGTGTAAGCGGGCCTAGCGCCGAGCTCCACAGCGTGCAGGGCACTGCGCAGGGCAGGTGAGAGAATCGACATACAGGACGCTTTTCGGGCAGAAAAACCGACATCATTGTGCCGAAAAATCTGAGAGGGATTGTTTAGCAAGATTGTGTTCATTGCATGCATTGGAGCTGACTAGGTATTAATAACGAGACGTTGATAGCCGTGTCCTTGCAGCTATTATCGACATGTGCTAAAATCTTCAAAGTGTTCTGTTTGATATCGCTTTTCTACTACTTCGGTGACGGCTCTTCTTTGCAGATAACTTCACAAACAATTCTGATGCTGTTCTCATCGCTTCTAGCTCAGTGGTGGGCACGGCGGCCTACCACTGTTCCCACTAGATTGGAATCAATATCACTCTAAGGAATACTTTGGGCAGAGGCGAAATGAAATTCAGGATAATTTTATTATAAGTACCGCACATCGCTTCTTCAGGCAACTTTGTGCGAAGAATACCAGGCACAAGATGTACATAGTTGTGTTCGGTTAGCTAAGCGCCGGACTCAGGCGACATTTGCGAATTAACTGTAAAGCCTGCTCTGACAGCTGTAATAACAACGGTTAGGCTGTTCAGCCAGCTAAAGCTGTTCTCCCCGTAATATGCTATCAATGTAGCTTTGGTCGCATGGTCGTAATTGCAAGGCCACAAACTGTGGCCCGAATCAGTGAATGGTTACGGTAAGCTTGCTCATACATGGAGCTTTGCTGGCTGAAGCAGGCAGCGTATGCCAGGCACACATCGTCGTGTGCTCTCATTCCATGTCGAGTCAACCACACCTTATACCACAACAATTGCCACGGTTAGGTTTTTGTTGACCACAATCTGCTTCATCGCAACGATATCGTTCACAGCATGTTGAACAGCGGGATTGATTAAAAGCTTTGCGCTCGCACGACGACATCCGACAGCTCGAATCGCTGCAGTGTCCTAAACTAAGGACTTGTCATTCTCGAACTTCCTCGCTTTCGACCAAGCCTACCAACTCCCAAGTACCCAGTACAGCTATGCCCTCCCTGACTTCCATCGCTACCGCTTTCTTTGCTTTGGCACTGCTGGCCGCTTCAAACGCCCTAGACGCAACTCAGCACCAGTCGAACACACAGCAAGAATCCCCGCACCAGTCGAACACTCAGCAAGAAACTCCGCACCAGTCGAACAACGGAACTGAAGCACACAAAAGCATGTTGCTTACGGCGTTGAACGATGTGGACTCCTACAAGTCCTCCACGCTCATTTGTCTCTACAAGGTGAACAAGGTAGAAGTTAAGAAGAACACTTACGACTACAGCGTGACCGGATGCAAGGTGGACCCCGAGTTTGTGGGTAGTTGCCCCGACTTGACCACCTTTCCTGGATGTGGCAACTACAACGTCGTACTCACCACAAAGTCGAAGTCCAAGAAACCTAAGGTGCAGTCGATCAAGGCGTCGAAGTAAGTCCTTATGAATGCATCCATACCTCGACGGCCAAGCTATCTAAAAAGATAGCCACTAAGTGTTTGAGTATGTTTAAATCTCGTTCATTTGCGAAATACACGATTCATGAGCCAGAGTCCTCACATTTCGAATAATAAGTGAACATGTACCAATAGCAGCAAGTTTCTCCTAGAAACCTTGCACTAGGAGGAAATGTGGATATCTCGGTACGACTTACAAGGGTTAACCCCATTCAATTGCCAGACCTACATGGGCCTGTGCCAA